ATAGCGAATGGGGGTAGCGAAGGTTCGCTAGGGGTTCACTGAGCGAGCGAGGTAGCGAACGAAGTCAGAGGCTTCTGTTTGCCTTCGCGAGCTTGTTCGCTAGGCGAACAAGTAGCGAATACTCGCTAGGAGCTCGCTAAGCGAGCAGGGTGGCGAACGTGGCAGGTTGTGTTTTCTTTAATGTTTCCATCCGAGGTCGGGTTTCCGACTTAACTTTGATTATTTTCTTGCTCGAGGCATCGATCATGTTGAGTTATGTTGTGCTGTGGGTAGCCGTATGGCGTGAATCCTAGATTGTGAATTGTGAAATGTGTATGTGGCCGTTTGGCAATTTTGTGCAATTGTTCGAATTAAATGGAATTGCATGGTGATATTGATGTGAATGTGCACAATTGTATGTACTTGTATGATGTGAAGAATGCTTGAATATGTTTGTAAACATGTGTGCATTTAAGAGTGTTTTGAGTCGTGTTGCATGTGTAGCATCATGATTGCATTCTTGTGTGTCTGATCCTGCGTAGGATCTGCAGAAACCTCGTGTGCCCTTGTGGGGTGTGAGCGATGGTTTAGTTACTTTGATCCCTAAGAGGATCTGCAGAAATGATCGTGTGCCCTTGTGGGGTGTGAGCGATGGTTTATTTTGATTCCGTGGAGAATCTGCAGAACAGTTGTGTGCCCTTGTGGGGTGTGAGCAACCAGATTGTGTGCCCGTGTGGGGTGTGAGCAATCCTGAAACATCGTGTGCCCATGTGGGGTGTGAGTGATGGGTGAACATCGTAGGCCCGACGGGGAGTTACTTCGGTAACAAGCGATGGTTCTATTTTGGTTCTTCAATTGAACCTGCTGAACGAGTCGGTACCACATTTGCATCTGCATAGAGTCGTGAGTCGGTCTCTATGAGTTGCATTATCATCTTTATATGATGTCTTGGTGAAATGAAATAATTGTAAATGTTTAAGTGAAATGCTATGAATTGTGAAGCATGAACTGGTGAATGTGATTGTTATGTACGTGTACATGGTGACGTGTTTTAACAAGTTGTGGTGAGAAATGTGAATTTCGTGTATGTTATAAATGTGTTTTATGATATATATAATTTTATGCATTGTTTGTTATGATAATGTTTCTCACCCTTCTACTGTTTTATAATGCTCTATGAGGCATTGCAGAGTAGGATGCTGGAGGTCTTTGTGAAGCGAGTCTTCATTTCTTTTGGTTAGATTACTCTGATATGTAACACTGGGTAGTTAGGAATTGTTTTGATTCTTTTGTGATACATCTGCGTATGTATCTGCTGTTGAATGTTTTGTAAACTTAACTGATGAATTGAATTAATCTGAATGATGTATATGATGCTTATGTTAATGAAGTGATTTCAATGTTTAGATGTTTCCGCTTTATTCTAAATATTGATATGTGGGTTTTAAGCGCTATGCTTTGTTTTTAGTTGAGATTTACCCCTTTTGTTACATATCTTTATGAGCAGGTATTATTTATGTTTCGTTTCGATGATAATGTGACGCGCCTCTTTTATATCATGTTTTAATTTATACTCTGATGAAATTTTTATTAAGTGCCTAAATGATTTAATTGATTTATTTGGGGGTATAGAAAGGGGGTGTTACAAAAGTCCAGGAGGAGGCTATAAGGTTGACGGCGATCGTGAAAACAATCGATTGTCAAAACCAAGAGCGAAAGAAAAAGAACGACCCTACTGGGGAACACAAGAGGAAATTGTGTCAAAACTAGGAAGGTAAAGGCAAAGGGATGATGTTGAAATCACAAGAAAATAATAACAAAGGAATTAAATAAAGACAAGGTAAAATTATCTGGGGATTCAGTATATTAACAGGTAGGTTGTGGTTAACCGAAGAAAAAGAGGATGACTATGTGGGGAAAATAAAGGATTGGTGTCAACAAACAGACTATGATGAACCAAAATGAGAGTATTGAACCAAGAGAAAGTGTTTGACTCTCTGGGGGACTCGGTGTGTTAACTGATAAATATTGGTTGACAGAAAAGAGAAAGGAGTTAGTTTTAACCAATGAACGGTGATCAACCAAAAGGACGAGTGTAAAACCAAGAGAAGGTTGTGACCCAAAGAACGGATGTGGAACCAAGAGAAGATTGTGACCCAAAAATGATGGATGTGGAACCAAGAGAAGGTTGTGACCCAAAGGACGGGTGTGGAACCAAACGAAGGTTATGACCCAAAGGACGGGTGTGGAACCAAGCGAAGGTTGTGACTCAAAGGGGAATAGGTACACTGGCTGAACAAGCAGTACTTGACCGAAGAAAGGTTATTTGAACCAAAAGAAGGTTACTAACCCAAAGGTGCGAGTATTTGAACCGAAGAAAGGTTGCTAACTGCAAGAGATATTGGTTTTAAAAGAAAGATTGTGATTAACTAAAAAGAAAGAGTGATTAACCAGGACATGGTGATTAACTCTGGAGAAGCTCATCATGTTAGCAGAATGACTATGGTTAATTGAGGAACGAGCAATTAACCAAGAGAAAGTGATTAACTCAAGAAAGATTGGTTTTAACAGGTGGACTGTGATTAACCAACAAAAAAGGGAGAGGAACCAAGAAAAGGTTGCGAACTCCGCTAGGGATTTGGTTTTTAACAGATAAACTGCGATTAACCGAAGAAAAGGATTACAACTTCACTGGGGAAGAAGAAAATATGGTTTTAACAGACAAACTGTGATCAACCAAAGAATGAGTGATTAACCGAAGAGAAACAAATGTCTTGAACCAAGGAAAAAGTGCTTGATCAAAGGAAGCAAGGGATGTTAATCAAAGATCGACTCGACCGGGGAACTGGGGGCACTATAATCTAAAGATAGACACGATTATTCCAGGCACAAGGTCATTTGTCCCCTACCAAAAACAATTAGAACGAGTGTAAGAATTCTCCACTCTCATTCCTTCTCTAGCACACAAAGTATAGTGCGAAAATTAAAATTGACAGAGTAACGCCGCAAGTTGTATATTGCTCTAATGTGTTGTGTAGACCTCCGAGTCCACAAGGGACCAAGAAAAAAAACTCTAAAAGAAGCCTAAAGAGAAGAAAGAGAGAAGATTAACTAATCAAAACAAAGTTTCGATAAACTAATCGAATGGAAAGGATAAGCCAACAATCTTTCAAGCAAGTCGAAAGATCATCAAAGCCAACGTGCAAATTAATGATTGTACAATGTGTTGTCTTAGGTCTATGTTTTTGTACTTACTGCTATATTTTAGTACAATGGTACATGTTTTAGGCTTATATTGGTATTATGTTGTAAGCCTTATATGAGAATTCTGTTATAACCTATTGGTATTATGGTACATGTTTTGTTGCTATGTCGTAAGCCTTATATGGGAATTCTGTTATGACATATTGGTACTATAATGAAGGACTTATTTTGCTTATATTCTGTTGTGTTTTAGGCTTATTGAAAGACATATTTTGCTTATATTTCGTTCTGTTATGTTTTAGACTTATTAAAAGACATATTTTGCTTACAATGGTACACGTTTTAGGCTTATATTGGTACTATATTGAAAGACATATTTTGCAAATATTCTGTTATGTTTTGGTATAAATTATACCAATTAGGTGATAGACAAATTATATCATTTCACAATTCCATTTTGATAGACAAATTATACCATTATAAACAACATTACACAATTCCATTTTATTGATCTCATAAAACAATGTTGTAGAAATACAACTCATTCATCCCATAGAACAACCTTTGAAGAAGTACAATTACATTAACAAATTGTAGATTAATACACTTAAAGCATCAAAAAATGAATTCCTCCAAAATGTCTTCCACTTCATTGTGTTGTTGACAGCCCCCTCAAGTTCTTCAACTAATACTTCAGATTTAATCAATTTCTATTGTAATTCTTCATTCTCTTTTGCTAAGCATTCCAACCTCTTTTTTTGATTCTTGATAAACACGTCCCTGTCATCTTTTGCTTCAGCACAAAACCAATCAAAATAATCACATCCATTAGTTGTATTCCCCTGCACAAGTTACATGCAACATTACCCATTGTGTAAAATCGCAATTGCAAACTTAACTAGATAGATCATACTTTATAATGTGGACATCCTCAAAATTACTTCCCAATTGTTTTTTTGATTTTTGCCCTTTTTAGTACAGCAAAATCACCACATCTCCACCGTAACTCACATCTCCATTGATTTTTCAAGATGAAGAATCAACCTTTGATTTGGAATTGTAACTCACATCTCCACCGTACCCCGACCCCTTTTATGAGTCATTAGTCCTCACAATTGATGTTTTGTAGCGTCAATAAGATATTACAGAAGAAGATGAAGGCATGAACAAGATATTATAGAAGAAGATGAAGTCGTGAAAAATATTTTACAGAAAAAGATGCGTGGTACATATAATACGGTTGAGGGACTAAAATAACCTTTTTAAAAATTAAATGACCAAAATGAATCCCAACCTAAACATACTGGACAAAAAAAAAAGGTCATTTTGCCAAAAAAAAATAATATAATATCATAAAAATTAGATTGAACCAAACATATCAAAATAATAATGACTATTATTTAAACCACACACTAAAAAATAATCAACCTATCTTTTTAATATCTTAATCAGTGTTCCAAAACCACTCATTCGCATTTTCAAAAAAAAAAAATCTTTATTTAAACTAACATAAATCATATTTTATGCAGCGTGGCTTTTCATTTCAATTTTGAGGCCAAAATTACAAGTGCGGCCATTCCTTAATGAATAAGTTTGTTTTGTTAAAAAATGTTAAAATCTTAAACGTTACAAGATGTTTTGTTTTTCAGGTATTTTATTTAGTGTGAAGTCGTAAAAGATGATGAAGGTTTATTGTTTTGATTTGGTAAAATAGAAAAGAAAGGAAATATACGCGTGAAGAGATAAGTATGAAAATAAATGCCCACAGTTTGAGTATAAGTTGTAATGTTGTGGATCTAAATGAGTCATAAAAAACAATGTCTTCTGGAACGGTATCGGGGATTCAGGGCCAACCTTTGGAGGTTACCGTCGTCTCTTGCTCCAAATTGAAGGATACCGAATGGATTTCAAGACAAGATCCCTACGTTTGTCTTGAATACGCTTCCACCAAATTCCGAACAAGAACCTGCACAGGTTCGTTCCTAGTAATTCTTCTTCTTCTTTCCTGACTTTGACTTTTTGACTTGATTTTGATGGATCCAGATGGTGGAAAACATCCGGTGTTTCAAGAGAAGTTCGTCGTGCCGCTGATTGAAGGTCTCCGCGAACTCACTGTTGTCGTTTGGAACAGCAATACTCTCACATTCGATGATTTTATCGGCACCGGAAAGTGAGTATCTAATCTATCGCTTTCTTATTCATTCATAATTGGCTGATTCATTAATTGATTATATTATATTATATTATTAGGGTTCAATTGAACAAGGTTCTGTCTCAAGGTTTTGACGACTCTTGTTGGCCACTTCAAACAAAATCTGGCAGGTATGTATCAGTATTAGTCACCTACAGATAGGTTGTGTGTGTTTAAATCTTGACCATGTATCCTTTTCCCTTGCCTGGCAGACACGCAGGCGAAATAAAGCTTATATTGCATTATGCAAACGCCAGACTAAATCAACAGGTAACCTACATTTTCATTTCTAGATATTGATGTATGCTTAACTGAAGTGACTGTGTTTGCTTTGCAGAAACTAGGCTCCTCCTCAACCCATACTCCTACTTCCTATGGAGCACCTCCCACACCTCCATCTTACTACCCACAACAACAACAGCCATCATACTCCAATTATCACCATCCAACACCTCCTTCTGCTCTTGCTTATCCACAGCACCCTTATCCGACTCCTCCTCCTGCTGCTTCCCATAATTCATATCACTATCCATCAATGCCATCTCCTTATCCACCACCCTCATCCTCACCATACCCCCCTCCTCCACCCTCATCCTCACCATACCCCCCTCCTCCCCACTCTGCTTATCCACCGCCTTCCTACCCTCCGCCTGCAACTTATCCTCCAAATCCTGGTAACTAATTCTTTATTCTCTGCTCTCAATCCTTTCAATTTTCATATCCTCATTTTCTCCTTTCTAATCACATCTTTTTTTTTTCTTCCAGGAATGTACCCTCCACCACCATACTGACGCAGATCTGCTACTTTCAAGGATTAGTTTGTACAATCTTGCCTAAATTTTCTGCATTTCTCTCAGTTTTCATTTTGTAGCCATTACTATATCTATTTATCATTCAACTGGACTAGTGGAACGATCATTTTGTAGAAATTTATTGCTTATGGAAGTTATTATATTATATGCTCTAAATTAAAGTAAGCAATTGGTTTTACACAGAGAATGACAAACATGGATATTTACTCGTCCATGTTATGGAATGAACACATTATATAGTACTACTACATATTTTTAATTTTTTAAAGAAGGTTTTTGCACACCTATTTAAAAGTCATCTAATTCAATATATTTATTAGTAATTATTATAAAAGTTCTTCTATTCGAGCGCCCAACATATGGTCCAACATATGGTCACATCCCTACTAAAACAAAGCATGAGTCCGCCCAAAACTGGACAATAGGCCGCCTAAAATAAGGCATGAGGCCTCCTAATCGGTCTTAGGCCGACCAAAATAAGACACGAGGCTGCCCAATTGCTCTTAGCCCACCCAAAATAAGGCATGAGGTCTCCCAATCGGTCTTAGGCAACCCAAAATAAGAATGAGGCCGCTTGAAATAAGGATGAGGCCGCCTAATTGGTTTTAGGTCGCCTAAAATAAGGCACGAGGCCTCCAATTGCTCTTAGGCTGCCCAAAATAAGGCACGAGGCCTCCCAATTGGTCTTAGGCTGCCCAATATATGGAATGAGGCCTCCCAATCGGTCTTAGGAGGTCTAAAATTAGGCATGAGGCACCCAATTGTTCCCATGATTAGAGAGGGTTCTCTAATCTCTCACAAGAATATCAGATACAAAGTTTTTAACCATTTTGTGTGAGTAAGTCAAATAACCAAAAACATCATAGATAATCCTACAAATATATGGCTACCTTCATTGTATTTTTTTTAACAAGTACAATTGTTGCCAATTGTGGAGTTTGGTAAAACTTACATGGTCGTCAAATTCAACCTATGCTCCTACCAAAGACGACAACAACGACTACGCATCTGCCAGCAGTGATCATGATATTGGTGTTTAAATCACGTATATTAACTTACATGAGCCTCAAATTCAACCTACGTTCCTGCCAACGACGACGAGAACGACTACGCTCCTGCCAGCAGCGATGAAAATAATGGCGTTTAAATTACACACACTTTTATATGCTAATGACGAGGCATATGATATTATTAGTTTTAATACCACATGCACTTTTAGTCCGTCCTTTAATTTTAATTTATCTATTGTATCATCATGTCCTATGTGTCATATTTATTAGTAATCATCATATATCAATTAAAACTAAAGGGATATACATTCAAATCTTATGTGTCATATTGCAGCATCTAATTGTTTGTTTTCAAAATAATATATGACTTAAATAGTATTTTGGTCCCGATAAATTAGCGAATTTTTGATTTTGGTCCATGTGTCTTTTTTTTGTCTGAGTCCCTATTAGGGATGTAAATGGATACCCATGGGGGCGGATAGTATGATATCCGCGTATGCCCCGTTGGATAAATATGATATCCGTATCTGCCTCATATCCATGCGAATATCAGTTAAGCGGGTAATCCACGGGTTTTAAGGTATCTGCGGATATTTACAGATATCCATGAATAACTTTTTTTGTCTAAAATTATTTTTTAAAAATATATTTTTTCGCTCTCAATTTAACAATTAAACTTCATCATATTATTTTCATTCTTTTTTCACTAAAACATAATAACATTCAAACATAATATCCATACATTTCATTTTTAACAAAATAAAATTTATCATACCATATAATAATTGTTTAAATAAAACAAAAAGTAATAATGCAAATAGTTTTCATCAATCATTACAAAATTTCATATTATGCATTCCTTGCTTAACATTCATACTTTGGTTTCCTAGCTCCTAAATTAAAAGCTTAAAAGATTCCAAATAAAATACTGTATTAATGTGATAGTTTTAATATCAATATCAATATTCAATACTGTATTACAATTGTGGTCCAAATTATCAACGGTAAACTTGAACCATAAAAAAAAACTAAGAGATAATGAATAATTAACAATTAAAAATATAAATTAATAATTACAAAGCATTAACTATACCAATATTAATATTATAATATTGGTGAAACGTTTACCTTAAAATAAAAAAACAAAGAAACCTATAAAGATGCATAACGTAGATATGAGAAAACCTATAATGAGAAAAAATTATCATTTACTTGATATAGTATGATTATATTTCATTGCATATATTAATATAAAATGACTAAATATGATTTTTCTTGGAATGTGAAAGGTTTTCTTTTTCTTCCAAGAAAACGTTAAAAAAAAGAAATATGAAAAAACTAAATTTCTTGGAAGATGTAATGACATAATAAATTAAAAATATTTAAATACTTTTTATAATTTATTAACGGGTATGGATATCCGCGGGTACGGGTATCATTAAACCCGCATCCACATCCATTAAATAACGGATATTTAAATATCCATTTATTTTATCCATGGATATCCATTAAGCTATCCACATTGTATCCGTGACAGATTATATCCGTGGATACCCGCGGGGACGGGCTTTTTTGCCATCCCTAGTCCCTATACCTCACTTTTGTGTTGGCTTTAGTCCCTGGGGATAAAATTCTATTTTAAAAATTGACTTAGGTAACGACGCACACGTGAAAATGATTTATATTTTTCTATGGTTAATACGTGGAAAACCTAGTTGAATGGTCTTGAAAAGGAGGACTAAATCTAAAAAGGACACCATTTTGCATCAGGTTCAACTCTTCTTACTATGAGTCTCAAATCCCAGTTTGTGGTTACAATAAAGTAATGGGAATGTTCATCTCAAATTCAACTGAAAACTTAAAAAGAAAATTCTGGAAATGTTCTAATTCGAAATTATGTTGCAAATTATTCATATGTGATGATGAACTTGAACGCAACACATCAACTGAACACAAAAACTCAATCGGATGCAATTATTTAGAGGTATTTCAGGAATTAGGTTGCATCACTAAAGATCTTGAACCTAGGAAAAAAGAGAATATGACATTAAAGTTGGAAAATGAAAGGAAGAAGGCCAAATTGTTTAAGTTTTTGTTGACTCTTTCGTGGTGTCTGCTCTTTGCTTACTAGAAATGGTTGTGAGTTTCATATTTTTATGGTGTCTATAATTTTTTTGGTCCCTAAAAGAAGGATAGTTGTTGAATTTCGTCTCTATAAGACTTAGTTATTGAATGAATCAGAACCCATGATTTTTTTTTTATTTTCGTCCCTATATGTTTGTAGCTTTTTGTTTTTTGTATTACATCCCTATTTGTTAATGATTCATTTTTATTTCATCCATGTATTTCATGCGTTTACTTAATATTGTAAAACGTAAAGATATATAATTTGTCTCAAAATACAACAAAGACACACCATACATAAACTATAGTGATGTTTCATGTCTCAGAATTACATAAATCCAAAAGAGATATAATTTTGTCTCAAAATACAACAAAGACAAACCATACATAAATCATACGCCCCCTAAAAATTCAAAATTCCTTTGTTTTCTATTTTTTTAATGATTTTTTTTTCTATTTTCATAATTTCTTTTTTAATGATTTTTTAATGATTTTTTAATGATTTTCATAATTTTTTAATGATTTTTTTTTTCTATTTTCATAATTTCAAAAAATTTAGAAAAAAAATCTCAATTTTTAATTAGATTGTTTTTCGTGTTTTTGTATTTTCTTTTTCTTTTATTTTAATCGCTTTTGCTATTCTTCAACTGTTTTTGCGTAATAAGGACATTATCAGTATTTTCCTATTTGTTGCTGCATTGCTGAATTAGTTATGTGTTTTCTCACTCTTTGTTGATTCGGATTTTGAGATGGCTCATCAAAGAACTCTTAGAGAATTTGATGCCTCTGATGTGAATTATAATGCTTTATGTATTTAAAATCTTCTTCTTGTTGTTGTACCTTTTGAATTGAAATCGGGTTTAATACACTTGTTGTCAAGGTTTAGTGGTCTTACAGGTGAGGATCCGCATAAACATCTAAAAGAATTTCAGGTTACACCTTTGAAACCTGAAGGAATCACATAAGATCACATCAAACTGAGAGCATTCTCGTTCTCACTTCAAGAAGCTGGAAAAGATTGGTTGTATTATCTAGAGTCGAATTTTGTCACAAACTAGAATAATCTAAAAAGAGCGTTCCTATAAAAAAAATTCTCTGCCTCAAGAGTTGCTTCAATCAGAAAAGATATATGTGGTATTAGATAGGTCGACATGGAGTCATTGGCATAATATTGGGGGAGATTCAAGCAGCTAGTGTCGAGTTGTCCTCAACAGCAGATTTCTGAACAATTGCTAATTCAGTACTTTTATGAAGGATTGCTACCAATAGATAGAAACATTATAGGTGTTGCTAATGGTGGAGCACTTGTTGATAAGACTTCAGCTGTTGCTAAAGTCTTGATTGAGAACATGCCACTCAACTCCCAACAGTTCACAACTAGAAATAATCTTGTCCAAACAAAGGGCGTGAATGAGATTCAGGTATCTTCTTCCAATAAAGCTCTAGAAACCAGACTTGATAAACTTACTTCTTTAGTGAAACGGTTAGCAGTCGGTAAAGCTCAAATAACATAAGTGTGTGGTATTTGTAATTCTTATGAACACCTGGCCGATATGTGTCCTATTCTGCAAGAAGAGTCGGTCACTGAGTTGCCTCAAGCATATGCAGTAAACCTTTACAATCAAGACAACAATCAGAACAGGTACGACAACACTCCTGACCTATCCACTAATAGGTACCATTCCTAATTGGAGAAACCAACCAAACCTTTGGTATGGGAATCCACAACCTAGCCAACAACAATTAATGTTACCGTTACCACCACCACATAACCCTCCACAAGTAACCACCTCTGCATCTTTCAGACCTTCATTAAAGGATCTTGTCAAGCAAATGGCTGTAAATAATCTCCAGTTTTAGCAATGAACAAATTATAGTATTCAGACTTTGCAGACACAGATTGGACAACTTGTCACTTCAATGAATGTCATGCAGCAAGCACAAGGATCTAATCAACTACCTGCCCAAACAGTAGTGAATCCACAAGGCACTAATGTGAGTGTAATTTCTTTGAGATTCGGAAACAGTGTTAAACGAACCCCAACCTCAACACCAAAAAAAATATAACAAAATTGTTGAGCCCATACTTGAGCCTACACCTAATTATGATGTTGTGGTTGAAACAAAAAAAAACAAAAAGAGAAGGTGTATGTACCAGCAATCCCCTTCCCACAGAGAGTAGTTAAGGCTAAAAAATGGGTGAGAAAGATAATGATAAGGAGATATTGGACATATTCAAAAAATTAGAGGTAAACATTCCACTTCTTGATGTGATTAAGCAAATTCCAAAATATGTCAAGTTTCTTAAAGACTTATGCACTCACAAGAGGAGATTGAGGGGGAATGAAAGAATGAATATGGGAAGAAATAGTTATGCCTTTATTCAGCCTAAAGCACCTGAAAAAGATACAATTGAGCGAAATGTTTCAACTATCCCCCAGGCCATGCCCCAAAAGTGCAACAATCTTGAAACTTTTGCTATTCCATGTACCAATGGGGATAGTAAATTTAAAAATTGCATGCTAGATTTAGAAGATTCTATTAATGTTATGTCTACTTATGTTTATAATAATCTTGATCTTAGTCCTTTGCAGAATACAAGTTTAACCATTCAGTTAATGACTTGATTTTTCTTGCAAATTTTTACTTTTAAGACATGGAAGGAGAAACTAAGTCAAACAGGGCACCCAACATTTTAGGCAGGTCATTCATGAAAACATCAAAAACAAAATTTGATATTGATGATGCAACAATATCCATGGAGTTTGGTGATATTACTATAAAATATTAAAAAATTTGATGCTATAAAACACCCCACAAAAGAGCATTTTGTTTATCAAATAGATTTGCTTTCTGAATTAGCTGATGAAACATATTATGACTTGTTTTCAGCTGATTTTCCATCATTGTCTGATTTTTATGATATTTACATTTGTGATGCATGTACTGACACTCATATTTGTTCTGTTTGTGATGAGATTAAGGCTGCCTTGCAGGTTGACATTTTTCCTACCGATGGTGTTGTAGATGAAGTTGTTTATGCAACTAAAGCTCTCGACACCCCCTCTGCCCCAACCAAATATTCCATTGAACAACCAACTTCTGAATCACTTCTTGAAGATTTAAATTTTTCATAAAAGCTTGAATTTGAGCATGAAGAGAAATTATTGTAGGAACATAAGAAGGGAATTGGATGGACCTTGGTTGACACTCGTGATTTTAGTCCATCCATGAGTATACACAGGGTCTCACTTAAAAATGGAACAAAAGTAGTGAGGTGACCCCTTAATTCTTTAATTCTTGATGTTATGAAAAAGGAGATCACTTTCACATGTCCATTCGACAATTTTACTGATCAAAGATCCTTCTTTGATCCTGGAATAAAAGACGAAGGCACTAATAAAAATATCAAGGTCAGTGAACACTACCCAAAGCTACTCCATGAGAGTCCCATTTTGGAAGGAAAAGACTGTAGAAGAGCTCTCTTTGGGAAAGACTGCTTATGCAATCAACTATACACCTTGACCATATCATCTTGATGTAATCACACATTTTTACAACTTTACACGCATGTGTCTTGTTCTCTGAGGTCTGCTTGTGCTTGCTTGACCTTTGACTTCTTCCTGTCAAACTTCTCTTTTGACTTCTCTTGTTGGTTCATCACATAAGAATCATTCTTTACATTTTCAGTCCAATCTCATTCATTAAGCTCATATATGATCGCCCCCTACAGATCACTACTTGCTTGTTCATTGGGTCGAACTACTTGTATCCTTTAGTAGAATAATATCTTATTAGGATCATTTGACTCAACTTGTCATCAAGTTTTCTTCTTAACTGATTTGACACATGTGTATGTGTTATAGTTCCAAATACACTCAGATGACTCAAGTTAGGCTTGACACCAAACCAACATTCTTCTAGCGTAATTTCTTCTAACTTCTTCGTCAAATATCTGTTCAGTATATATTTGTAGTCGACACAGTTTCTCCCCATAATTCTTTAGATATATGCTTGCCTTTCAACATACTTCTCACCATATTCATGATGGTTATATTCTTCCTTTTTGCAGTTCCATTCTGGTGTGGAGTGTAAGCTAACACCACCTCATTCACAATCTCTTCTTTCTCACATATTGTGTCGAAGTCTTTCGACACATATTCCCCACTACCATCAGTCCTCAAAATCTTGAGCTTTCGACCATAGATTTAAACTTGGCAAATATCTCATCACTTCACTTTTGTTCTTGAATCAGGTAAGTCCATAATTTTCAACTGAAATCATCTATGAAAGTGACAAAGTATTTGTTACCTCCAACTGAATCCACGTGGATAGGACCACATACATCAGAGTATATGATTTCAAGAATTGCCTTCGACTTGCTTCCTGCATCCTTGCTGAAGTTGTTCTTGTGCTGCTTCGCATGCACACATTCCTCACATAATTCGTTTGGAATGTCGATTTATGGTAATCTTGAAACCATATTTCTTCTCTTCAAATCTCTGATGTCTTTGAAATTGAGATGACCTAGTCAATATTATCATATCCATTCATCCCTGCTAGCTGCAGTTGCAAGGCACTTGTGCTCCATCACATTAAGTTCAATCCTGAAGGTTCTATTTTGAGACATAAGTGCCTTCAAGATTAACCTTCCTCCTGAGTCGAGAACTCTCATCATCTTGTCTTCGATAAACACGTTGTAGTTCTTTTCAGCCAACTGCCTTATGCTGAGCAAAATACTTTTCATGTCTCTTTCCTCATAATCAAAACATCACCAATACCTTCAACTGCTAGAGTATTTTCGTTTGTAAATTTCACCATGTTCTTTATTGAGGGTTTTATGTTGACAAACAAGTCTTTCATACTATTCATGTGTGATGAGCATCTTGAGTCCAAGTATCATTGGTCTTAGAATGTTTCTTCATCTCTTGTTGTGACCATCAACAACATCTTTTCTTCTTCATGCTTTGCAAACTTTGCATTATTCTCTTGATTCTTTTGTTTTTCAGGACAATCACTAGAGTAGTGACCATACTTCTGACAATTGAAACATTGAATGTGACTTTTGTCAGGTTTTCGACATCCACCTCTTTAGTTGCTTTGGTACAAGGACTTTCTCTGATTCGGCTAGCATCCTCCTTGCTGACTTCAACCAGTCGAATTGTTGTATCCTCCTCTACCTTTGTTTTCAAACCATTTTCCTTTGCCTTTCTTTTCTCTTGATGATTGCGCTTACAAAGTCATATCACATTTCAACTTGCTTGCAGCTCTTTCAGCCATTATTTGGTCATGAGATTCAAGCGTTCCTTAAAGTTCTTCCTTTGTCAATGTTGACAAATCTTTCAACTCTTTTATGGTTACTATCACGTGGTCTAACTTTGGATCCAATGACCTCAAGATCTTTGCAACAATTAATTTTGATGTCAACACGTCTCCACATACTTTGGATCCTTCACCGGTTTTGTAACCTTAGTGAAAACATCTGTTATGCTCTTATTGTCTTCCATCTAAAGCAATTTATACGTTCTTTTGTGAGTTTGTAACCCCACCACTTTTCCTTTTTCTACGCCCCAAAATAATTTCTCCAAGATCTCTCATGCTTCTTTCGACAATTCTACATCACTAACCTTTTCGAAATTATCTAGATTAACACATTGATGAATTATAAAAAGAGTTTTATAATCTTTCTTCTTCAATTCTGTGTAGTCTTTTATTCATCCGGCGTGTTTTCTACAAGTGGTGTTACTCATTCCTTCACAAAATCTCAAGGATCTTGACAACAAAAACCTACCTTCATCTATTTACACTAACTCTCATAATTCTGACCCTTCAGAATTGGGAGACTCGCCAGAAAATATCCATTCGGATGATTCATCATCATTGTCATCGTGTTTTGTTTCCCATGAATCATTCAGTCAATGCTAGAGAACAAAAAACTGAATTGGGAAGAAAAGAAATTAGAGATTCAATAAAAAATAGGGGGAAAAGAAGAATTTCTAAAGAAACTCTCTGCTCTCAAAACTGCAATTTTATTTAAGTGAATCACATTACAATAATATGGTTTACTCCCTATTTATATAATCCTAATAACTTGTCCACCAAGCAAAACTCAGAATACCTAATTTTGCTAACACTACAAAATTAGACCCAAATCTAAAATTCATGTTGAGGTTACTCCTATGACACTTCAATAACAAAACAATTTCGTCACACACTAGATTATTCGACAACTTCCTTGTCCCTGTCAACAACATGCTTCGATACAAAAAATTACAATTCAACAATTATCGGGTGGTGGTGGAACATATCAGAGTTTATAATGTTATGCCACGAAAGGAGTAGACTATAATGCATTTGATACCAATATTTTTGTTTCTTCTCTTTTTACAAAATTAAAATGTAAGGTTGTCATTGAGAAAGTAATAACCCATACATTCTCTATGTACATAATCTCAACCTAAAGTTAGCATATTCATAGGACATAATGTTGCTGAATGTCACAAATCTAATGTTCTGTTTACTATGTTTTTTTGCATTTTGTATTTTCTTCATCAAAGATATAAACGTGAGAATACCTTATACACCCCCAGTCAGCCACGTACCAATGTTGATGCTTGGAAGCAGGTGGAAAATTTCAGAGGGCGTAGTACTCCATCCCATTGTTGACATCTGAATAATATTGATTATAGTTGAGATATTCCCAGAAACGAGAAAGCCCAAAATTCACATGCTTAGGTTCCTTTACATAGCAGACGTGCAATTCATTTAGACTTCTATCAAACTTCTGCTTTATGGAAAGGACCTGCAAATAAGTTGAAACAGCCTGTCACTACTATTGTTTTATTTGAGAACATAACCCACATGTATGTTCCATTTTCAAGAGGACCTTTTGGCAAATATATTTATAATTATAAAATCTAAAGTACTAAATTACATTTCAGCAATTATAACCTTTGAATTAATCTTCAACATCATAATTGCAATATGCACAAATTGTCTATCCACCATACAACAATCACACAATAAGACATGTTACTTGCTATTTTCACTCTATCTTTCTTTATGCACAACTTTTTTATAAAAATAAAATAAAAAATTAAGTATTATAAGTATTAACATCTTTCCATCTTCACAAGTTTTTCATTATATATGGGTCAATAGTTGTTTATGAGTATTTTTCTATATCTTCTTAAAATAATATTTTGTAGGCTTTGTTCTGGAGTTTGAAGGGGATAGAAAAGGAAGATTTCAAAAAACGATTATTTTAAAATAATATAGAAATTTTTAAATATTTTTTAGAAACAAGAGTTTATATAAAATGATAAAATGGTATTTATCATTCACTTATTTTAAATTTTTTAAATTTATACAACAAAAATTATATTTGATGTATAAACCCTCCAAACCCCTACATTATATTTGAACAATTTGTATAAACCCTCCAAACTCCTATAATACAATTTTTGAATTCTCCAAATTAGAAGAATTTTAATTTTTGAATAAAAATAAATGCCCCAAAATCCTTGCCACCTAAATCTTTCTATTCTTTTCACTTCTTTCCTTTTACAAACCTCATCCCTACCCTTGGCTCCAAACTCCCAACCAAGTCTTAGTATTACTCTATCCGTCTCAAATTATAAAATATTTTGGACATTTAACACGAACTAAGAAACTTAATTATTACTTAATGAAAAAGACAAATTGTATATAACTTTACAATAATATCTCTCATAATTACACAGGTGAGAGAAATTAAAAGCCTTGAAAGAATAAATAATAATAAATATTTGAAGATATATTAGAAAAAATTTCATTAATATTACATTGGAAATATAAGGTAATACTACATTATAAAATTTTAAAGTAATACTTATAATTTGAAACAAATTTTTTTAACAAGGCGACTTATAATTTGAAAACGAGGTAGTATTACATTATAAAATTTACGTTTTAACCGAATAAGTTGTGATATCTAATTTATTCTCTATAAAAAAAATGTGAACAATTTCAATTCTTAAAAAAATAAGACGTGTCCACTACCTAAAACACCCTAAAAAGAATAATTAGGTCCCTAACAATAAATATAAATATACAAATTATTTTTTAATAACAATTAAAAATATAGAATTTGATTCATGCACCAATTTTTGTTCATAAACATTCTCATCACTGATTTGATATTTTCTTGCCAAAAATTGTAAATAAAATATATACTACTCATGATCACTAATGTCCACTAATATTTTTGTACTTATGCATTTAGATTAGATAATTAGATGTATGACATATAGGTTATTCCATCTATAACTATGTTAATATTCTTGAGGGAAATTCCATTGTATTTATCAATTTTAAAACTACGGCAATGCTTTAAAAATGGACAAATAAAATTTAAAATGAATCCAAAACATTATTTTATATATGATTTTTTAGCTTATAGGTGGTATAGTGAATAACAGACATTTATTTAAAATGAATCCAAAATGCCAAAAAAAAAGTTTAATATTTTAGTTTAGTATTCCTTTTTTTATAACAACGTATTTTAACTAAATTCTACTTAATAACATATAAGTGAGTGGATCACACACACGTGATGCATGGTTTTACCTGAGATATATTGACTGTGGAAAGTTTTCCTAATAAGTCTCCTCGATCATTTCCAATATCCCAAGCACCTATTGTAATACAAGACCGAAAATCGAGTGCACATTGCAAAATGCTCTCAATAATGCTACCCATTGCCTTTGTTTCATCAGATAGGAAACATCTGCAAATAACATATACACAAATTATAGCATTTGAACTTCTAGCAACTATGCATCAATTGAATGTAAACTTACATTCTTAAGGAATCAGCAAGATATTCCGTGTGCACAGACTCTAAATCCATCATATCTTTCACCTGCATAATGACGGGGATATCCAAAACATTGATATAGTGATTGAATTTCGAAGTCGATCATCATGTTTTAAGAAAATGTTTCAGCTTTATTTGTTCCCATTTATAAGAAAAAGTCACAAACTTAAAGTCATATTAATTGATAAAATTACTCTAATATCCTTAACATCTATCCCCAAGCAATCATAATTTTAATACAACAATTTATTTTACTGACGTTGGCAACATGGATCAAATTTCACCATAGTGTTCTATCCAAGACATGTTTTTATCTAACTTTTCAATCTCCGAATCTTAATATTTTTTCTTATAGTTTTTCTAGATCTTCTACCTCTAATTGTTTGACTTTTCTATCTATCTAGATCTTCTCTCCATCTATTCTAGATCACCTAAGTCTATTTTCCACTATTTTTGTTATTATAGGTGTTACCTCAACACTTTCTCTAATATTGACATTTCTAATTTAATTTCGTATAGTCTTACCACACATCCAACCCAACATCTCCATCTCTATTACACTTATTTTATTTTATTTTTGTACTAATTCTTAACTGTCAAATATTCTGACTCTTACAATATCGTAGGTCATACCAGTGTCTAATAAGAGTTTCAAGTATATAATTTTAATAAGTAGAACCATTGGCTTCAACCTTGTGCCGAAGGGAATGAAGAAATCTGCACCATGACACGTGTGATAATTGTGATTCCACATATTGCTGCAAAGTAGATACAAAGTGGCTGATCTGGTGCCTGTCAATGAAAGTGGAGCAAAGGATGCTTAGAAATACTAATATGCAGATTAAAGAAGTTCATCTTCAATATTCAATATTTATAAGAGGAACAATTTTAACCAACGCCCGTTGAATTTCCCTTTATATTGTATAGAAAATATTATGCATACTTCTATACATTGTGTTAAGGATTCCATATCGAACAGTATTTGGTCCGAACATTTGTTTATAAGTGAAGATAATTCTCACCCTTCAAACCAGTTTCGTAGGATTGAGTTAGACCCAACCACATTTCTTAACACGGTATCAAAGAGCCTTGGTTTAAGAACCAGTGATCCACCTGCTATTAGATTTTTGCTATCAGACCACTCACCATTTATTTTAACGCTCAAAATGTCCAGTCCTAGGCGTGAGGGTGTGTGTGAAAAATCTCACATCAGACAATATATTACCCGAACATGTGTTTATAAATGAGAGCAATCCTCTTCCTACAAGCAGGTTTTCCTAACACATTGGTATCAAAGATTTCCAGGATTTCATCATCGACAGTGTCCCCACCTGGACACATGGTTCAAGCCTCCAAGGCTCCTTACATTAAAAATGATAACATGACATGACCACCCCCCCCCCCCCCCCCCCACCCCCACCCCCACCCCACCCCCCCGAAGAATATCACATCAAATTGAATATACATAATAGTCCAAGACTTCCCAAAAAATATCCAATACATACCTCATCTTCATTAATATATTAAGATGCTGGCGTATTTCAGCATTTAGATCCTGTGCCATATCCTGTTCACCAAAATTGAAAGAAAATAAGCACTTTCAATAAAATCAAAATCCCTTAGATTCCCTTGAAAAATCAAAATGTAAGTGTGATTATGAACAATAGAAGCATTTGGGATATCAGATTATATACTTCAGAATGTAGCTGCAGATTTATGAAATAACAGGCTCTCCAACATTGTAAGAAAAGTTATTTGTAATCATGTACATAGAAACATGCAAGGCACTTTGCAAATTAAAAGAGAATAACAAAATAATTTTCAAGAATGTGTGATTGGGTCTAACTCAACCCTACAAAACTGTCTTGTAAGGTGAGGATTGCCCCGCTTATAAACACGTGTTCATGTCATATATTGTTCGACGTGGAAATCTTTAACACCCCCTCTCACGCCTAGGATTTGCGTCTGGTGCGTGGAACTAAATGGTGTGTGGCCCAAACAAGGCTCTGATACCATCTTAAGAATGTGCGGTTGAGCCTATCTCAACCCTACAAAATCGGCTTGTAAGGTGAGGATTGCGCCCACTTATAAACACATGTTCAGGCCATATATTGTCCGATGTGAAACTCTTTTAACAATAATAGATTTTTTAAGGGATATCACAAAAATAAACTTCTAGATAAAAATTGTTAATGTTAGGAAGATCTTATAGTCCCACATTGGTTAGAGATAAAGCATTGAAATAGTTTATATAGAGTGGTACCCCTCACCTTACAAACCGGTTTTGTAGAGTTGTGTTAGGTCAAATTTTAATATGGTATCAGAGCTTATCGATCAGACCTTGGACAGCCCACAGTTTAAATACACGCACCATCCCACATTGGTTGGAGATAGGGCATTGAAATGGTTTATATAGAGTGGCACCCCTCAACTTACAAACCAGTTTTGTAGAGTTGTGTTAGGTCAAACTTTAATAGTTAAGATCCGACATTGAGTAAAGATATGCCCAAAAAAGTATGTCTAACACTTGAGCCTTTAAGTTAATTTTTGGGGTTGTATTAGGCTCCCAAATTTTGAGATGGGATTAGAGTCATCCAAGATATGGTATGGCCAAAATTGCAAAACTAACACTCCAAATGAGTAATCCTATGCATGAGGGGGGTGCTGAAAACTTGAAAAACCACCTCAACTAAAGATACGACCAAAGTAGTCCTTATAAGACTTTGACAATCCTCACCCCTTGAGCTAGTGTTTGGAGTTAAGTTGGGCTTAGGCCAAATTCTATGAAAAAAATTAAAGTCATAACCAATAAATAGTTACTCCTCAACAACTCTTTGAACATCTTTAACTGATAAATGGTCAATAGTTTTAAATTGGAAATTTCCTGCCGATAACTCCTCTGTGACACCCCAAATTTTTTTTATCAAATGCACCCACATATAAATAAGTCATTTCAGAAATAGAAACAAAACAGAATAAATGCACAAAACACACTCAACCAGAATTCGATACATTTATACCAGTACTTGTTTATCTCACAGTTAAAAGTTAAAAGAAGTGCAAAGTAGATAAAATTACAGAAATCTCATTTCAGAAATTATGGCAATGTTGTACAGTAGTATGTTTTATGGATTAATCCATCAAAGTGATAAGTTTGGCATGTGCCATTTGTAATTTCTACTTTAAATGTTAGTGTTAGCCCACTCATTATGTATTTCATAGACAAATACTCACAAACTTTTTTAGAGGATATAAAAAAATATAAATGCAGATACACACAATAATAACAACTGGAAAAGAAAAGGGAGATACGGGAAGAAATCACACCTTTAATGAGCACCACACATCAGTCAATGAAAATAAGGCAAGCTTCACTTGTATCAAAAAGCTGAATATATCAGCATATATTTTTAACGCAGCAGGTGTCAAAATAATACATAGTGGCCAATCCACGTGGTAACCCAGTCCTAGGAAATCAAAAGAACGGACCCCTGCCATTATTTACGAAATTCTTTATCAGATACATAATTTTACCGTCCACCGATGGGTGGGGTGAGCTTGTCAAACTTGATATGAAAATGAAAATGAAAATATTAATGACAGTGATCAAAACAATAATAAAACCAAATAGCTAATCAAAATTGTTGAGTAATTGTTAAGTAGAAGAACCAGAGAAAATGTAAATATAACTTTTCTATATTTCTAAATATAAATTGTTGATCTTGAAGATAAAGTTACAAGAATTTATATGATCACTATCCTACACACACAATGGTTCTATCCGATACACACACACACACACACACCGATAACATATTGAGAGGCAGACACAACTAGTTTATGCTGATGTGGCTGCTTCTATAACTAACATTTGTGCCTTGTGAGGCACACTAAACAAACTGTTAAAAACAACTGCGAGATGGCTGTATTTTATACAGATGAACATAGTAATTTTCTAAGAGTCACAAACAAGCAAACAAGAAATCAACTTCTATTTATTATATTAGTGTCCTTGTTGAAGTTATGGGTTTTAATAAAAAAAAGAATAAGAAGAAAAATAGTTAGGGTGAAATATGATTGATAATCAACTTTAAACTAACTTGATACAAATGACTAAAAGTTAACCCCTACTACAAGACTCCTAATCCTAAATAAATAGGGAAATCACAAAACAAATCATAATAATAACTAAGTAATATGGAAACTTGTCATAGGGTATATTCTAAGATTAGAAACTGATCCTAGTAGATAAACTAAGACACTCCAATATAATATCAATCATATTTTAAAAATATTCATATTTTCTAACAATTCAATAATTTTGTTGAATTTAAAAATAAAAAAAGATAAAAACTGACTGAATCTTTAATAGGTAAATAAAAACATCCATATAAGTAGGAGGAGGGCCATATAGTGTCCTATGTAGTTAATTTGAAATTATTTTCTACTTTATTCTCAATGTAGTGAAAACAAAATACCGGTTCTCTAGGAAAAGATTGAATACAAACTAGGGGCAATTCCTTTCAGAAGTATAATGGATGTACCAATAGCAGATGCCGAAAGAGGTAATTTCCCATGTCCTTTCATGTACACAAACAACCTAGCCTTATTGGTGTCTTGCTCACAAGAAGACTTCTGAATTGACAATTCAAGTAGGCCTTGAATTTCTGGAAGTCTCTCATTAGCTTCTGTAACAGACCATTTCTGTGGTTTCAAGTAAAACAAACAATGAGTAAAGGTGCAGTATAGTAGACTATAGTAAAACTCAAAGCTATGAAATATTATGCAAGTCATTGTCAATCATAATTTAGGAATACATGTCGCCAAAGTGACAAGATAAACAAATCTGCCCAATCTGCTAATTCCATAAAATGATACCGCCGCAGTGCTAAAAGATGCTCTTGCAACTTAAATGCCTCCTCAAGCACGTTGATGATTAATTTGCTGACATAATTGTATCTGGCATCGTTAAGGACATCAAAGCTATTACATAATTCTTTCCAAAAGAAATATATTGAGCAAATCAACCCATTTGAATATGAGAAGTTGTCGATTGTCTCGTGCAATAACGTATTTATAATACTTATTCTACCTTGTTCATCTATCAACTTCCACATATAAATTCTAAACATGGCCAAAAAATGGGTATTGTCCCTCTCAACATATTACACATTTTATACAGGCTTACTGCATAACTTGCACCTAGGTTGGTATAATAATACTCAGGACAAAATTACTATGGTGGATGAGTTCTAAATGGCATCAAACAACTAATGCAGCTTGTCCCACCTAATGGGGTAAAGTCTACTTGTTGTTTTTGAAAAATTTTATGCACCACTTAAGCATTCTATCATTTCAAAATACAAAAAAAATAAAAATAAATAATAATAATAATAATAATAATAATAAATAGAAATATTTGCATTTCTTGTGATTTCTTGCTAGTTGATTGTATAACTTTCCAACCCATTTCAACTCCACCAAACAGTCAAATTCCTTTGTGATCACGACGCCTTCCAGTAGATTGATACATTTCAACTACATCAGTAAAGAAGCAAATTGAGGCTGCATTAATCAATTTACAAAAGATGATAAAACTGACATGACCAAATGCATGTACAGCATCGAAAGGAGTCGGATATTCTTGGGTGCCTAAGTCCACATGAGTTGTAGAGGATGCTTTGTTGAGTATTTATGTGGTTTGGTTCTTCCTCCTTGATAACTACTCCCTCCGGTCTCATATATAAGAGAAATTACAAAAAAAACTCACCCTTTAAGAAAAATGTTCGAATGCATTTAATTCTTACATTCTTTTTAATTTTACCCCTATTTTTTGCTTTGGAAATTGTTACAAACATAGAAATGTAAAAAAAAGTAGAGGTCTATTTGGAATAGTGACATTGAATGTAATAATTATAGATGATTTTTGCTTATATTTAAGACTATTGAATTTTATTTTATTTTTGCTTATATTTGAGACTAGAGGGAGTAGGTTTTAAGCAGGGTTCCCCAAGTGCTTGGATACCTATCAATTAGTATCAGAGTTGGTTGTCTTGTTGGTAGCTCAAAAAGGGCTATCTATGGAAGGGTTGACCAAAAAGGCTAAGTAAAGCATCCTAGAGTGTAGTTTCCAAAAACGTTGGATATCACTCTCTAGGACAGTACTATGATAGGGACTTTGGGCATTATGGAGTGCCTAAGTTCCACATCAAATAGTATGAGAT